ATGTACTCAGTTTTTCTGTATTGAGAGTACTCCGTTTCTGCAGTACGAAAAAGTATTCAACTTTCTAATAATTATTGAATTACATGGTGCAGTAGCGACACGGGTTAGTTGTGTGTTAGTAGCATTTTGGAGCAACAGCCACAAATGCTCAGTATTTAAATATACTATTTAGTTGCTTGATATAAGCATTTTATGTAATTTGTACGGAAATTCCGTATGTCTCAATCAGACCATAACTGCCTTGCATTAATTGCAAATCAGATACAAGGAATATCATTAGGCGGTTGTACTGCAGACATGATGGTTAACTACACAATGCTACAGAGGCGTCACACTGGTTAAGTATTGGCGATGACAAAACGCAGACTGCGATGGATATGTTTATAAATACTATATTAGTAGCGCTTTGATGTTATTCAACGATCTTACAGACCTAAAGAGGGAATCAATGCTGCCAGATCAATTAGCACGCAAATGGCCATCATATCGCATTCGCGCGCTGCAAGCTCCACCAGCCGATGACAATATACCCTGTAGGGGAAGGGTGAGCAGACTTCATAAGAAAACTATGAATTTGGCACAGAAAACGCATGATGTTTCACAAAGGGACATTCATTGAATTATACAAACGTTTATTGTAAATGTGTGTTACAACAGAAAACGTAGAACGTATGTTTTCCCTGGTGGGGTGATCTCTATTGGTCCCGTTAAATCGTAGGGGAGTTTTCACTGCTTTTAAGCATCTGCAATGCTTCGCGAGTCCGTGACTTTGTTAAAGGAGACAATTAGACCACCACACCTCATTTTTTGCTGAAGCACAGTGGCATAATTTTGTGAAACATCGCACTTTGATATCGCAGCCGACACATATTTGGTGAAACATTTCGTTGTTTATGTGTGTTAACTAATTTTTGAACTATGAACTTTATATGTCACTAGATTTTATATTTATTTAGTGAAAAAACATTAAAAACTGTATGTGACGTATGGCGGAGATCATCTGCACACGTTTTCTTCAGTTCCAAAATCCCTTCCAATCATTATAACTCTAAATAATTGAAAGATGAGTAAAAGTTTAAAATAGATAAATAGAATCCCGAGTTACAGAAAACTTATTTGCATCGGTAAACGAATTGTAAGTATGATTTTTCTGCATTGCTAACAAAATCGTAACTCGCTTTACCTCTACTCCTACCAGTACAAGCAAAAGGTGAGTTCAACAAAACGTGCGCAAAGTGAAGCTACATTTACACTAGCCATCGTGGATCCGCTGAAGCGTCACATTGTTCATGTCTATAATCTGTGAACGATGCAAAAACAAATTATCACAGAACTATGGCAGGAGTTGCCCGTATTCTACTCGTTAACTCCATTTCCCGTTTGTTTGAGATTGGAGAAACTTTCAGCACAGTAACTAACTGTTGTAGGTAGTGACGCACGACTGTGAATTTTAATAAACTTGCCTCCATTTCTTAGATAAAGTCGCATTATCACATCACACGGAACAAAGAACAAAAGATCCCAGCTGACGATTGACTCAACTTTACTTACCAGTAAGGACAGCGACTGATCTAGTCGGTTCTAGTTCGAAGTAAGGTCTATGAATGCCTCTTGATGGTTGTAACATGTTTGCGCTACAATAAAACACTTTTATTATTGACGTGCATTAAGTCATATGTACAGTAATATGCATATCTATTTCATTTGTATAATAACTTAAATGAGTCATAATCGTATCAAAATTTCCTTGCAACAGCTCCAAATCAGCTCCAAACCATGGAAGCGCGGATTAAGCGTAGGCGATGAGAAAATGTAGGCTGTCAGCGATGGGCAGCGGAGCTGTAAACTGTCAGCGAGGTGTTTATTGTCATGATGTCAGTCAACCATCTCAAAGACCTGGGAAAGAAACCAGCGTCGTCAGCTGGAACGCGCAAAGGACCTTAAAATAGCTTTCGCGCAAGCTGCTCGCTCTGTGAACTGATGACAAGACTCCAGAGCGGACAGGGTTGGGCAAAGTTGGCATGGGTTAACAAATTTGCACGACAAAGCTGCGAATCGGAAACGGCAAAAGTGTTGCTACTTCATAAAGAGATAAGCATTTAATTGTCCAATTTATTATACATTTACGTTTAATAAAAAAACGTACGAATTTCAGTAGTTTTACAAGCATTTTTAATCTTACAAACATTAGAAAGATACTAACGCTGTATGTCCTTTTTTTAACGGGGTGAGAGCCATCTGTCCCTCAGAGAATTTTTGTCTGCTTTAAGTATTCGCATAGTATGGCTTGGCTGGGTTTATTGATGGAAACAATAGGTTATCTGACCGTACTTTTGTCAGACAACTTGTCACATTTTGTGAACCACCAATTTTGGAATCACCAGCCGCCAGTGCGTCTATTTTGAATAGACGCGAGAAAAAATGCCTAAGTGACTACTGAGAGATTACAGTATTTGACATTTTCTTCATATTCTTGAACTGAAAAATCAGTAATATTATTCATTAAAATTACAATGCATGCTTACGTACAACGTATGCCGTATGTTGTCCTCAATATTCGTGGCCGATTTGCACCATTCTTTCATCAGTGGCAAATCAAGCACTGAAAATTCAAGACCATTGAAACGATTTTCTGAGAAACATTAATTGGTTTGCCAAACACAAAATAATTCACTCAAAGAATATAAATCCGTTATTATTCTAGTTTTCTTATTTTGAAAAAAATCTACATTTCATATTCTTCCTCTCCAATTATTCGATTTTCGATTTCCGATTTTATCTGGTTTCGTTTTATTAACATTATTGCTATTTAGAGACGAAACTATTGGATATGTAATTTTGAATTGATTGGGTTTGTTAAACAGTATCTTTCTATTCCAGGTCTAATGGAATCTGAATTTTAGAAATGACCTTTTTATGTATTTGATATATTTTTATAAAGTAAACGAATAAAAGTGTAAGGGAAGGCAGATATTTATAGAGGCGTAGGGATGGCTACTAACAGGTGGTAAGAATTATGCATAATTAATTAGTAAATTAATTAAATTACAATAAACTGTGCTCGAAATGAAAATTTCACTAATGTTACCATACACCCAATTAATAATTGATTTATTTGAAAAGCAGCATGAGAAAGAGGACGCTCACTGAGGATGGGATCCACATACGTTTCTGTGGGCATGCTGAAAGACAATGACAAATGAATGAACATGTGGAGACAACTTCAACTCCGAGTGAAAATGCAGCCTCGATGACTGAGCGAGCTTTGTTCGAAATGCTCATGTTCCATGCGTCATAGGCTTTTCCGCTCGAACCCGCAGCATTCGTGCATGTGTACTGGTCATTTTATCTAATCATTTGCCTTCCGACGTTCAATGGCAGTAATTAACGTCATTCTGGGTGCGCAGGTGTACTTCTAAAACGTCCCACGATCCTGAAATATTAGTTCCTGCAGGTTTGCTCCATGCAACCTTTGTAGATGTGTCCTCAGTAGATTTTTATGTAGCATGAAAGTAGTATGAAGCATGAAAAATTTTAAAAATGTTCTTTCATAGAACATCATTAGTATTAGTTCAAATTGTTCGAAGCGTTAATCACTTCTTTTTTTTTTAAATCGACTCCCGAGTTTCCCGATCTACGTTTAGTTGCTTTAACCACGAAGGGTACCAGGATAGCTGTTCCATTTCGTGGCAGTGTTACTAAAGCTGTGGACAGGTTGTATTATTAAAGGCATTTGTAACCCAGGAACAAGATCGCATCTTGGTTTAGGTTTACTGTACCGAATATATTTTTGACGTAATTTCCAACCCAACACGGTGTCAGGCTGGTGAAAAATGAGCAGTAGCAATCTTCCAAAGGAAACGTTTCTTTCAAGGTTCAATAAATGAATGATTTTTCAGTTGGATTATTTTAATTGTAGTTTAACCTTTTTTTAAATAGTCATGGGGATCACATTCTATTTAACCCTGAGTCGCGCTGTTCGGAAGTGTCAAACGTAGGCGAGGAGAAACAAGGAAACGGACGTTCTTTCCCTTTCTCCAACGTGCAAATGTTCAGAAATTTTTACAACCTTATACTTCCTTATTTGTAACGCCGAAATTAAGTTGTTACCGAAAATTCAGCTTGGACGTTTTTCTAACAATTCCGCGTTTTTCTTTAAATGGACTGGACAATTTTTCGCCTACTAAGAGACGCATCGAATTAGTCTTCACCATTTGGAGAGGGCAAATTTGACAGATCATTCACTTTTCTATTCCCAACACCAGCACGTAGTTTAGCCAGAAAATAAGCATTTTACTTGCCGGTACGGTCATATGACTATGTGTCCAATTATTCGACTGTGAAAAAAGATGTTTTCGTCTAAAGTATTTTTTTACTTGACCTATTCTATTCCTTGGAAGTCATTTTCAAACTGTGAGAAACGATGGAAAAATAAAGTTTTTGTATTTATTCAAAAAGTAAAGAATAATGTATGCTTGTTGGGCATGTTATTGAATTTCTTTTATTATTTTGGTAATGCTCTCCATGCTGTCGAATTCATAACCACATATATTCGATTACTTGAGCAGATTCGAAGATGAGACACCTTAAAACTGTAATGAGGTGGCTCAAATAGCAAGTATATGTACTTAACCCTTTTAAATTTCGAATTGACTAAACACTTTGTCTTTGGTTAACATACCGGTTGTATTAGTGTGGAGACTTGAATGCGTGAGTAGAAGAGAATCTCAGTGTGGTTTATAACGTGCGATGAGCTGGCCTAGATAACCGAGGTCGATAAGGCAGAAGGGCAGTAGTTGCTTCGGCTCGAAGGATCGCGGGTTCGAATCCCGCCTCGGGCATGGTTATTTGTGAGTGTTCATGTTGTCCATATGTGTTCTTCCTACACTTCCCCCTACAGTTAAAACAATCACAGTGCTCGCTATATGACCCAGTTGTTAAAAAGCGACCCACAAGATGTGCGAGGAGCGGCCAGCTGAGTGTGGTGTGTGTTGTGGTGCGCAGGTGAGGCGGAGGGCGCGCTGGCGGCGGCATCGGCGCCGGGAGACGTGGTGGTGGCGCCGCTGGTGGAGACGGTGGAGGCGCAGCCGGCGCCCGCGGGCCCGCCCCCGCGCGACCTGGCCGCCGACGAGCGCGACAACGTGCAGCTGACGTGCCTGCTCAACCAGACGGTGCGCCAGTGCCAGTGGGCGTGGCAGCGCCTGGGCGACGTGGACGGCCAGCCCGTGCCCGTCAAGACGTTCGACCCGCTGGGCAAGGACAAGAACGACTGCAGCGTGCGCTTCGAGGCCGTCGTGCTGGACCAGGAGGGCGTGTGGACGTGCGGCGCCGTGCCCGAGGACGGCACGGGCCTGGTGCGCGTGCTCTCCATTCGACTTACAGTGCACCCGCTCGGTGAGGACGCCGCGCACGTCGCTAGTATGGCGTGCGAGCCGCGACCTTCGTAGAAAATATTCTAAACTAGTGATGCGCCACATACTTTGTAGCATTAATTCAAACTTTTGCAATTTTCCCAAATTCTGAGAGTTCAACTAAAATGAAATGTGTGACTTAAAATTTAAAGAAAAAAATTGTAGTAGTTTTGGAGATTTTTTTTATTATGCTTGAATTTAATCAAAAATTACCCGAAAATTATTCACATATTAAAAAAATGTACAATGCCTTATTAAAGATCTATCTTTAATATTGTAGTGTATGTGTCACCTAAAAAATGAACTATTGCAATTTTCGAAAAATAAGGTTTTTAAACGAAAATAATACCGGCACCATACTAGTAAGCGCCCTTTTTGCTTACCGAGGACAATGTTTAATCCAAAAGAATATTTAAGAAAATTTTTAAAATGATGCGGGTTCGTGTAATGTACCTCAAAAATTCAGTATATCCTTTTTAACTCAGAGGTCCTCAAGTTCCTTTAAATCGATCGGGGAATAAAAATGTTAGAGAAAATCGGCTGAAATGTTTTGGTGCTAGCGGTGACCACACACGGACGGACAGAGATAAATAGATTATCGTAGATTAATTTTTCGGTATCAACGACTCACAAAATATGTATTCGGACTACACGTGTTAGAGAAAATAACTTCCTACTTAGACGAACAAGATTTATCCAATAATTCGTTTTCAGAGCACGGCAATAAGGGTTTTCTGTCAAAAATTCGCCGTAATTCGGTGCACGATTACGAAACTTTTCTTCTTTAGTAAGAGCAAGAACGTAAAACCACAATTGCGATAATTTTACGAATGCGGACGAACGCAGGAGGAGCTGATGCGTCTCCAAACTGGGTTGCCCTTTCCCACAGCGCGTTAGAAGTTGATTCAGCAAGAAAAAAATGATTGTCCATGTTTGCAAAACAGAATTTGATGCGAACAGTAAGTGTGTATATTTACTGTTGTATAGGAATTTTGACGTAAGTTAAAAAATTACATAAAGAATGTAAAAAAAAGTAAGTTGGAAACATAAAGCTCTGTGTATTTTCTCCTACGTTCGTATGAGAAACGTGATTTAAATATTAATGATCAAAGGTAATGATAATTAGAAAATTTCAGATAAAATAATGCTGACTACAAATTAATAAACAGAATTTTTTTTACTCCTGACAATTGCCGAGAACGTTCATACATGGGTAATCGTCCAGTTTACTATTAGATGGCTCAAACAATTACTGCAATAATTGATTCATACACCTGACTGTACATCTAACTGGTCAGAACATTAACTGCCAAATTTTAGGGCATGATGAATTGCCTAAATGCCAGGGGCAAATGTCACATATATAACTACGCTATTTTAGCTTTCTTACAACATGCTCATTAACAAAAAAATGACTGGAGAAGAATTCTAGCGGCCGGCTGCTCTGATAGCTAGTTTTCGGTGGGTTCTCCGATCAACACGAGGCGAATACTGGAGCAGTACCCTGACAAACAGGCCACGAACCGTGCGCGATCTTTCTTACCTCTTCCTTGTCCTGTCTTTACTTCTTACACACACTTACATGCACTGCACTATCATACATGTCAGGAGACCGGCCGGGAACGTAGAGCTTGTCCCGACTGGAGCGATGCGCCATTGGTGCCTGGTTGGGGAAAAACCCCGCTAGCTGACGGTAGGTCGGCGCCGGATCTCACCATACAGCGGTGGTGGACCGCCATCACTTCCCAAGCAAAATCATGCACTACACTTACGTGACTAATGGCCATAGTAGTTGACGTGCTCGGAATCACAAGAAATCAAGCAATGAACAGAAATAATAATCTTCTACCCCCACGTTCTCCAGAACTTCGTAACATTTATTCTGAGACACCGTGAATATTCATTATTTAATTAACTAGCCTACATTCATTCCAAAGATAGCGTACGTGCAATAATGTACAGACAGAAGGATAACTAGTTTGGTATAATAATTACTTTAGACACATTCATGTCCTGAATCTAGAGTATACTCTGCTGGAATAACCTGCTCGAAAAGCAAAGTACAATTATCCTTAGAAATTTGTATATCTATAAATGTTTGAATGTGTATCTTACGATTCTCATTGTGATCTGTTGGAACGTTGGCTGCATTCCATAAATAAGCTGTTTTCTTTGTTAGTATGAATGTCTCCAGAAAAAAATGCAGCATCTTTATCAGCCTTTGTCATTTCAGTTTTATGTCTGAAAAGAGCGGTGGACAATATACCTCGATTTCAAGACAATAAGCACATTCCATACATAGGCATCTTTCATAATCCATTATGCTTTTCGTTATTTGTGTAATAAGACTACAGACGAGTAGCATTGAGTGGCACATTTGGCGGGTATTTTTTCCTTAAACTTCGTATTTCTTGAAAGTTTTTAATAAAAAGGTAAAAGAAATACAGTTCTCTAGTTCGTTCATTCTCACTTATAGTGAATTGCCTAGAAAAGTATCGATAAAACTACATTATTTAAGTTTAATATTTCAGTACAAAATGTGTTTTAATTATTGCCTATGTAACGGACAGAGTCGTAAATTTTATGTTATGCCGGTAAAGCGGTATAGTAAGTTACAGTGTTTAACCAATGTAGGTGCCATGAAACCCTGAGAAACAAGATTTCTTCTATAATTCTTCCAAAATATTGTAGAAAGATTCGGTTCAAAATAGTGTCAAACAATTTACATTGTCCCGAAAAACGGGGTGAGCTATTGCTCACCTCTGTAGATGCCTTAAACTCTTCCAAAACGCGCGTTGTAAGTCCTCAAAAACCCCGCCAACAACTCTCTCTCCCTCTCTCATTCTTAGAATATTATCCAAGAACCCGAATAGATGTTCGGTTCTCCATCACTAGACCGAGTCTCGTGGAGCGACACCTCTTTCGCTGAGATGGCCCGGAAGAGGTAAAACAATAACGAACGGACGGCAACATGGACCCACGCAAGTTATCCAATTATGTTTTAAATGTTGGTTGCAATAAAATGCTTTATTTTCTGGTACACGTATGACAGAGAAAGTGCAACGCTTGTAACGCTTCAAAAAATGGTTGCCGATATTTTCACGGAAACATACACGTATTGGGGGTCTCTGGTACTGAAAAACGTTTTTAATGCCTGTTCGCCCGTGTTCGAAACCAGCGCATAAATTGTGCACAGAATCTTCTCCAAAATGCATAATCCCAGGTAGTCAGAACCAAACTCGTTGCCAGGAAAATTTGAAATCAATATTTTAATTTGGGGAGGGGCCTTACCCACGGAACATTTCTAATTTTTTCTCAAAAAGAGTCAAAAGATAATTTTGGCCTCAAATAAAGGTTCATGTGCATTTGAATACTGTACAATTACACTTACACTCATGTTAAACACATATAGTAAAATAACACATTGTTGCTCATTTGGCCACAACTTTATGCCGAGGCTGCCTGTCTAAGAACCCGGAAGTCAATGTTTTTAAGACGGCATTCAGTGTAGCCGTCTCTCTCCTTTATGACGTCAGCAGTGTGAACAGATTCCTTGTGCGAAATCTAACCCATGCTAAGAGGAGCGGGAGTGTTCCAAAAATGCAATAGTGTGGCCAGAGAGGTCACATTTTGAAAATTGCGGCACAAAAATATTACTGGGGTCCATCTACGGACACGAAAAACAGGTTATAACACCCAACACTCACTATTTCGGATACTCTGTCTTTTATGATACTTCACCAACAAGTAGTGCATAATCGAAAACACATGTATTCAAATTCGTAAGTGCTTTTGACAATCGAGGCTCTCAGAATAAGAATGGCAGATCCCAACCGAAGTTCGTTTCGAGAAAACGACTTTTTTTTGTTTTCGTTCACGTTCACTTTGATTCCAAACAAATTTTTGAAGGTGGGATTTGAAGATTTTGCTTCATCCCAATTCATTTGATATTTCAGCATCGAAAAGGTATATGGCAGTAGTTTGCCTTCATACTTCTAACTCAAAATGCGAGGTCGACCGAGATCTGCCGTTACTATCCTGAGCGCCTCAATTAGAGCAGGAGTTGTGACCAAAAATACAAAGTGTCGAAACTGCTCCGTCGGCCGTTAGGCGAGCACGAGCAAGGCGTGGTCGAGGCCGTGCAGCATTGCGACTTCCGACGCCGAACGCGACCTTGGATCAACCCAGGCCGGAGGCAGCTTGGTGTAACCGGCAGAAGTGTGAAAAATAGATACCCGATTAGTCTGAGAGCTGGATGCCAAATCGATATATATTTACATATACGCTCACATTATAGAACTATGTAATTCATTTTATTATAATTATAATATACAGGACGCTTACCATAATAGCATAAATGACTGGTATCATTATATTGTCGGATTCTGATATTAAGATCGAAAACGCATAGAGTCCGAAATTAACGTGTTTTTGACTTTTAAAGGAATTTACTCGTTTATTTATTGACCTTTTCAATTCTAGTGATTTGGAAATCCCTAATAATGAACACCTGTCCAAGAGAAGTTGCGTGTTTTCGTGTAATGAGATTACAATGTCGGCAAAGAAGACCATTAAAATGTCCATGTGATAACATTTCAAATCTTCTAAATCATACTTTTTACAGCAAATTAATGCAATATTTTAAAGAAATGTATTTTCAATGATTAAATGGTTTCTAACCAGATAAAAACGTAAAGAGTGTAAAATTGTTACTGAAATAGAAAAGATGCGAAAATACAGCACACCCAATTACAAAGTTCGATCTGGATACTCGTCAAGCTGCCTTTCGCATTATTCTGGAAAGGTGCTCCTGTCATGGGTCTACGTTGACCCTTCGCCTCCACGTCCCGACTGTGCCCGCCTAACGGGCGATGATGACCCTATGAACTTAATAATTTTTTAAACACGCCTTGTGCGAAAAGACTTTTCTCTTACTTGTTTTCTGAGTGAGAAACAGCTATTTTTTTCACAGTGTGCGAAACA